AGCACCACAGGAGAGGTCCATCCTCATCCCAGCTGCTCAAAGGGATTCCGTGCTCCTAATGCTTTTTCCCCTATATTAATTTGAGATGTCAAAGGAGGAATATTTCTGATACCCTGTCTCAGACCCTCATGTACCCACTTGGCAAAGGAAGGTTTTGGAGAAGCTGGAGGATTTGGATCTTTAGGTGCACATCCTCTCTTATTTGTTTCCTGAAGATGGAGCCCTATTTATAGACAATATAGCCCTATTTATTTATTTATTTATTTATTCATTTATTTCACTGGTGTGCTCCCATGGGAGAAGGGAAGGGGAAGAAATGATACAACAGAACAGCAACATCTTTATTCAGATGGAGAAAAAACTAACAAGACTCCCTGAGTAATTAGAAAGTGGAAGTGGGGCAGTATTTCAAGTTGTGGGGCTTTTCCTTATCCAAAATGAAAGCTATTTTGGTTTTGGGTCATTGCCACAAACCACAGGAGCAACAAAGGGGATTTTTTTTTCAGGCGTATTCAAAACTTTGGGAAGGAAATTTTAAGTCATCTTCAAAATCCCAGAAAAAGAACGGGAAAGGGGGACAAATGTGGCCCATATAGCAGAAAATTCTGCTAGCTTCAAAAGAAAAATAACAATCCTGATAAAGGAAAGGGCATTAGAAAAAACACCCTAATATAATTTTTTTTCCTCAAGTTGGGGTTCACATCATCAGAAGTGGGAGCCATGGTTTATGCCTGTAAGAATAGCAAAGCATACTGTGTTCACCTCCTTCTTTGTCTTTTGCTGCTGAAGATATCATCTTTCAGGTTGAAACATCCTATGCTCAGCTGATTTTTGATGAAAAGATAAAAATGTTTTGCAATTGAGAAGAGGAAAATAAACATTTCCTCTCTTCTTGAGCTGATGCAATAAAGGGAGGTGTGTGTGGTTTAGAATGGGTGTGTAGCTAAAACAACCACAAAACCGGAAGATTATCTGTGATTGTAGAGCAGTGTTGTCTTTATCCTTGGTTTGGATTTCTCTCTCCTTCAGAGTGTAGGGTGAACTGCAGTAGCAATGTGTTGCATGTGACACTTCACCTCACCAAGCTGCAACCCGAAAAAACAGGAATCGTTTTTGCAGAATGAGACAAATAGGAAGGAAGGAGCATCATGGAAAATGCGGATTTGTTACAGTTCTTCTGCTTAGATTTTTGTCAGCTTTAACTAAATAATTACATGGAAAGTTTCTCCAGTTCCATGTGTCATTTTGAACAGGAAAGGAGAGAAGTAGGTCGGGCAGAAACGCCAGATCCGGGAGGTCCAGCAGCATTGGATGGCTGATTCACTTCAGGCTGTGGAGAAAGGATTTTCAGGAGAATTAATAACCTTCAGATCTTCTGAGAGATATTCTTGGTCTACTGAATAAACTACCATGTAGTTCTGGCTGTCATTACTTCAGATTAAGTAGAGTAAGGGCATTTCACAGGTGAGCAGCTTCCAGCAGGAACGTGAGGCATCTGTTTAAGCATCAGCCTCAGTTATGAGCTCTGGTTCTTGGGCTTGAGATGCTGCCAGTSGTACTGATGCTTTCATTGGCAGAGWAGAAATGTGATCTCATAAAACCTAGTATGTAGTGGAGATTGTTTCTGTAAAATTGGATAGGCCTGGTGTTGCCTGATAGGAGATTATGAATAAGCCATCCAGCTTTCCATGCAGTAGAAGCAATGAGACATTTGGATATCAGTGTAAAAGGGCAGCAAGGAAACTCTTAAGTACTTTTCTGCCCATTGGCACAAGTGAAAACAGAGCCCATAACATTCCTGCTGCCCTCATTCTGTGCTGCTGCCTAGAAACCTGGAGGAGAGGAGGCATTCAAAGCAACATCAGCCTGGGTCTAGGATTATCCTGACTCCTGTGGTTCAGAACATCACACAATTACTCACAAGGACACCTGGGTTACTACTAACAGCAGTGCAAAAGTGTTGGCAAAAGGGAGGGAATTTCTAGGCAGCTCTGCCTTCTGCTTAGTTGTGGAGTATTTCATCTGCCCTCCTTGCTAGGTTTTGTCTGTCTCTACTTGTATTAGTTGCCTGTTGCAAAGTGATGCCATATAAAACCAGGAAACACTCCCCTGCAGGGTTTATGCTCTGCTGCTCAGGAGGGGTGGGGTATAAATTAAAATACACTCTGTGGGCTGTGGTCAGCATGAATGGCAAAGATCTCATCGGTGTTCTGGGGCCTTGTGGCATTTTTGTGTTTTTGCTGTGTTGCTGCTGGTGATGCTCTGCTGTTGTCAGCCAAGGTTAGGACTTGGATTTGTAAACATTCATATTTCAGGAAGCAACCATGTTATGAAAGAGGAAAGCCAGCCTCTGGAGAGAAGAAACCAAAGTTTTGCTTCCATGCTTTCGAGAGTTCTCCCTTGTAACTCTCCCTTGTGCCCAAGGGTGCAGATGTGGTGCAGCGGTTGTGTGGTTGTGTTTCCAGCTCACGTGTGCAGTGCTGCTGCCTCTCTCTGCATGGAGAGCAGCACAGACACTCCTGTGCTGGCTGGCTCAGCAGCCCTCAGGCCAGGATCCTTCAATCCATGCAAGCACACACCAGACCAGCAGGGTGTCTGGCACCTCAGCCTGCTGCCAAAGGGGCCCTTAGCCCTGCCAGTTGTTCCAAATCCAAGCAGAATTGAACATATTTAAGTTTGTGTGCAGTTCTGGTAGATGTCTGGCATAACATTGCAGGCTTGCAGCTGCATGGAATTTGATAGCTAAGTTTTCCTTACATATTGTATTCATATAAACTATGTAAATTGTACTTTGAGGCTGATGAAAGTTAAAGTTTGGTAGTGCTTTGATTTGAACGTAGGTAATTTTCTTATGCCTGTAGACGTGGGTTACAAGCAGAGTGTTCTTAGTTTCATCAGGTGAAGCTTATGTGGGGGAATGTGAAAACCAGAGCATCAAAATCCTTCAAATAATTAAAACTGAAAAAGAACAGAATTGCTTGTCTTACTACTGCTTCTTTGAACAATGATATTATAATTACACAAGATATCAGTTTTTTACATTAGCTATGACATTAACCTTATCCATGCAATGTAACAGCAGCCAGAAACTTCTCCACCTGAATATGTAATGCCCTGCAGTAAGGTTCCTTTCAGACCCCATGTTTGTGATGCATTTTGCTATGTTTATTATGTTTTCCAGTGTATTTGAAAAGGATCCCAATGGAGTTGATTCCACTGTGAGTTCTAACCACCGGACCAGAAATCTCCTGGAGTTCTCGGCTGGTCAGGAGTCCAACACAGCTCAGAAAATACCTGAGGGCATCATTCCTGAGAAGAGTGATAGGTAAGATGAGAACYTTTAAYGTATTTTAGGTGGCAAAAGGCAKTGRTGCTTTTAGCCCTCATTGCCTTTCTCACCTTTTTGGCCAGTGCTATTGCTGCTTTTACAGAGTAGCTGAGTTTTAAACACAGTGTTTTGAAAGCTGCTCTGTTTGCTTTTCAAATGAATATGGTGTTTTATCTCCAAGAGTACCCAATTCCTAGAGCTTCAGGGGTGTACACGTGGCTGTGCTGCACAGTGTTAGTGAAGAGCACATCTACAAGTGCATGCCACTGAGACTTTCAGGATCTTCCTTAGTTCATCTGTTTGCTTTTTTCCACTGATCTGTATTTTAGCTTGCATAGTTGTGATATTTGTCATATTATCTGTGTCTTCTTGCTTTTCAAGTTGGAGTATTTATTTTCTTAGTTGCTCCAGAGAAGACTTGGGAAGTTCACAACTAAGAACACGCTCTGAACTTAGCACCGTACTTTTTCATTTTAAAAAAAAATCCATCTGAGTCCATCCTTGTGCTTATCCATTATTTAATAAAATACTGGCTTTCAGGCTTCCTAGATCTCTAGCATGCAGTGCATAAGTGAACATATAATTGCCTCCAGATTGAAGTCTGGCTAATACAGCTCATGTTTTCCCCTTACAAGATTTATCCTATTAGACTGTCCCTTTCCAGTAGAGTGTTTTGGCTGGTTGAACAAAGCCAGGCACAGATGTGCAGAAAGCCCTAATGTATTTTGCCATGCAGCAAGAAGGCAATAAATCAGGAGCATTTTAAGGCTGTAGCCATGGTGAGGGCTCTGTGTGGTACATTTCAGACCATGACCTATGGGACATAAGCAGAGTGTTTCTCTTAGGAGGATGTGCTTGTGCCTGCACCTCCTTTTCTTTCACTGTTTTACCCTGGGTTTGGGAAGCTGTGAGTTCTTTGCCTCATATTCTCCTTTATCAGTCCTAGATGCAGCAGACAGGAGAAGYAGAAAACTGGGAAAGGGAGGGGAATTGAACAAGGCTTTCATAAGCTTTTGTACCTGATTTTTCAGAAGGAAGTTGAGGGTCAGGGCCTAGAAGTCTGTCAAAAACAAAAGGACTAAGGCTGTTACATTGATAACTGTCAAGAGAGAAACCTAGATTAGGTATTTGGTGATAAATAGTTAACCCCACAGGAGGTCCTGAGAGTGTTAAGGATTTTTGTACTGAGAAATACAGGCTCCTTTTCACTTTATCAAAACCAAGCATGATTCTCAAGACAGAGATATAAATCCTCTCCACTAAGTTGTAATTGAGTTTGTGGCTGCTCAATTGTCACATAGCTTATGGTCTTTCTATCTGCTTGGTTTTAGTGGATAATAAATGTAGTGTTTCTGTAGCATATCTTGCACAGCTCTGGAATGAAAAAGAAAGTTGTGTCTGCAGATATCACATAGTTTGCATACTATGAGGAATATTTTACAGACTGCATTTTCTTTCAATATCTGGCCTTCTTGGGAAGGGATCCAACATCTGCTAATGCTCATCTATCTTCCCTGCATCGAGGGCTGTCAGCCCCCTTTGAGGGATTGACTGAGAACATTGGAATTGTTTTTCACCTGCTTCAAAGATCTCATGGGAGCAGCTCTAACATTTGTGGGTCTGCTGATGTTGGTGTTCGTTCTCTGGATTTGGTCAAAGGGTCATGAATAACTGTTTAAAGGGATTTCTTGATGTGCTTTTCTTCATTTTTCCCAGGTATGACCATTCTGTATCTGATAACAAAGCACTAATGATAGTCTCAGAAGAACCACTGTTATATATTTCACCACCGCCGCCCCCCTGCCGGCCTCTGATCAACCGGACAGAGTCACTGAGGTGAGCATTTAAAGTTTATTAGGAGTTGAGAGATAAATTCTGTGTTGGCTGAGTGCTGCTGGACAGCTGTGAGTGATGTTACTGTCCATTCATGGTGTCCATCCAGTACGTGACCAGTGTCTCATACGTGTCTGCACGGTCCAATGTCTGCTGCCATAAGGACAGATCCAATTGGATCTTTGTAATCTTTCCATGGTTTTAGTAATGATTTTGACTTTCTTTTCACACTGGTCACTTGCAATAACTAAATAACAGTTTTCTGATTGTCTTGGAGTTTTTCATTATGTAAAAGAGAAATTGCTTGGTATGTTCGTAATGTGGAAATCAAGTCCAGCTAAAAGCCTTCTTTTTCATAAGAATTATATAAGAGTCTTCTATCCTTCAGCTTTTGATATGGGCAGACTGAGCCTGGTATTGCAGATGTTCTTTGTTTCCTGTTACAAAACACCTATTTCCATTTTTTCCATAGATAGGAGTCACTAACTGTATCTCCATTCTCTCTGTCCATTCTTTCTCTCAGATTTACTTGCTGTAATTTATCTTGAATCAGCTTTTGATTTTAAATTTCAGCAGTCCTTCTAGTGATTTCAAAAGTACTGTTCGTTGGGCAAAAGAAAGGACTGTATCTACCTTATGTGGAAAATATGTGTGCATGAATCTAATACTTTAGAGATAATTCCTTAAAATGTAATCTTACAAGTGTATTTTCTTGTTCTTGTATTTAAAATAAGTTACAAGTAAACCAATAGTAATCTTCAGTGTCTCTATAGTGGCTAAACTGTTGTGTGCTAGTGAAAAATTCTGCTAGTGGTGTTTGCAATCTGTGTTAATGCTGTGGGTTTCCCTAGGCTGACCCACGAGCTGCGAGGATGGGTTCACAGGCACGAGGTGGAGCGAACGAGGTCGCGAAGGCTGTCCAACAGCCAGCAGCAGAAAGCTCGAGTCACACAGGTGAGCCCTTTCAGTGGCAGCACCAGATAATCCCAGAGCACGTGAAATGTTCCCCCTCACTTGTTTGCACTTGTCATTATAGACAAAAGTAGCCATGGTGCCTGTAATTAGGGCACCCGACACTTCCCATTTGAAATTGCTGGGTTTGGTTGACTGTTATGTTGTCAAAGTTGTTCTTCCATTCCTGCTCTTGGATTCAAGAGTAGATGTTTTGAATTTTTTTAGCAGCCGTCAAAATAACTTCTGCATTTTCTAAAATGAAATCTGTAGTTATCCTTTCTAAGGGTTTTCTGTAAGAGTAAAGATAAGCAATTGCTTAGTGGAGAGAAATACGACCTTCAGCACATTCATCTGGCTCACTGTTAAGGGTCACAGCTGATTGTTTTTGTTGAAATATTTCTATTGCTTAAATTTTTGCTAGAGGAATTCCCTTTTTTTCTTTTTTTTTTTTTTGTAAGAGTACAGAATTATGAGACTTCTCATATTTCCCATTTTTAAGGTCCCTTTTATCTACATGGCATACTGATATCAAGGCTGAAATTAAGACAAATGAATTTTCAATTAGGGGTAGTAACAGCTTTAAAAGGAATTGAAAATTACAGTGTGGGAAATACTGCAGTTTTCTAGGGAAGAAGTGTTGTGTATTAAATTTCAGATTCTTCTCACTGGTATCCAAAGGAGAATGGTAGAATATTTAGAACTGTTGTGTGTGGTGCCAAGCTTCCTTTCTTGTCTCTGAATGTTGATTTTGAATTTGGCTGTATAAAAATCTTGCTGGTTTTGTTGTTCCAGCTGGATTGCAATAACCATTTCAGGTTTTCATGTTTTACCAGTGGAAAAACGCACATTTCTGGTGCAGGGCCCTGATTAACCTCTGTACCTCATTCTGTGTGTCAAATCTCTATGTAGTTGCAAACCAAGGAGATGCTTATTGGTTTCACTTTGTGCCATCTTTTCATTTTTCCCCTTTTTCAGAGCTCCCTCAGTGACAAAGCAGATTCCCAGCTAATGGCCATGCCTTACACAGACACCAGTCTCAGGTAAGGCAGAACAGTTCCTTTTTTATTGCTTTCTACTTAAAAAAACTATTTTTCACCAACAGTTGTTAAAGAATGCCCATTTCCATCTTGTCAGGATTCTTAAGCCAAATGCAGCTACTTTTCTTGGACTAATTTCTGTCCCTTAGTGAATAACTGCTTTCAGTGATTTAAATTACACTTAAAGGGACCCCTGTATCACAGCTCCACTCCTCTGAAGTCTTTATGCCAATGAATTTTAAAAAAAATGCTCACTTTGCTCTGCAGAATCCCCTTCTAAACAGGTTTGAATATTTAGGAAAAAACGGGGGAACTGACTTGGGACTATCTGTGAGAACATCATTAGTTTATAAGAAGGTTTCAAAGGGCCATGAATCTGGTAAGAGACAGGTTTTTCTCTTAAATTATCTTTCCTAGAGTAGTGCCATTATAGCTAGCACCAAATTATGATGATGAACTGAAAGTGCCATTGTATCTTCTTTACGTGCTTTGTCTCCATCTCCTGATTTTTCTCTGCTTATTATTGGAGCAAGTTAATGCAGAGTTCTCTGATGTCCTCTGCACACCCTTCTCCATGACCATCCTGTCCTTCTTCCCTGGTGACAGGAAGTACTGGAGAGAAAAGATGAAGGAAATAAAATTTCTCCCTCCTGAATTCTGTGAGACTGTTGAGGAGTTTTCTGCTTTGAAGTGCCACAAAGGAGAGTAAGAGCAGAATGGAGACTTTTTGGTGAGAGCAGCACCTGAAATGTTGCTGTGCAAAGTAAGACAGCTGTGGCCTTTCCGTTTGCATTGCTGCTTTGAAAGCAGGATCAGCCWGGGGGAAAAGAGCAAGCTGCAGACAAATGTTACAGAAACCAGGCTGTCAGATTTTAATATATCTTGATTTMCAAGGAAAAAATAAAGCTTTTTGAGTTGTACAGGCAGATGAAGGATAGCTGTTTTAACTGAATAGCAATGAAGAAGCCTCATGGCATAAGACAGTTAAATATACATGCTTGCATTACTCTGAAAAAAGAATCTGGATTATTGGAAACTGTGCAACATCATGTAGTTCTGTATGGAATAATCTGTTGTGCTCCGAAGGAAGTGAGATTTTTGGGTTTTTTTTTCAGATTAATGATGTTTATATGAGCAGGACCAGTGAGTCACGGCAGCTGCATGCTGTGCCTGTCCTGGAACTGCTAAGRACATAGAACAGACTTCCAGTTCCTCCCAGAACCATCAGCTATTAGGTGCTCCATGAAATCATAGAAACAGAGAGTGGTTTAGGCTGTAAAGGACCTCGGGAGATGTCTAGTCTGACTTCCTACTCAAAGTGGGTTTAGCTTCAGGTTTAGTGAATGTCTCTGTTAGAAGACGGGGTCTCCATCTCCATTGTAATCTACATCAGGCAGCTGAGGATTGAAAAAAAATTCAGAAAAGTCAAAGCAGTGGAGGAGATAAAATTTAAGGTGATTTCAAAGAAAATCATCAACACCCCTCATCTCTTTATAGTCTGTGTAGCTTTCTTCCGAGGTGATTTTGCTGGGGGCTTCTGTGGGTGTTTCTTAAYGCTTCAGGGTKGAAACTGAGACTCTGCAGTTATTTKCTTAAGTTATGCACTGCTAATAATTGTGGTTCTTGATGCATGAAGCATTGTGTCCTGCCTCATTTCTTCTCAAAACAAGCCTATGTGSAACATCCCAGTGCTCTGTGATGCATAACAGTGTCCTTCAAAGTTTTAAAACAAAAGATTTATTTATCTCCCGATAAATGGCCCGGTTCAGCACCATTGTTCTGTATACATAATTTAATATGATGCTTTCTTGTAACACGCRAAGGTGTTTCTAAAATAACTGATAAGTTTTGCACTTGGTTTTGGCTCTGAAGTTCCTCCCTTCCTTTGATGGTGAGGCCCACTGTGGTTGTCAGAAGATGTTCAAAGGTTCACTGCACTGCCTGTTATCCCCTGCTATCACTTGGTATTCGATTTGTTACACAAGCAGGAGTGCTTTGCAAAGGCCCAGCGTTTTCCAAGTGCTTGGGAGCAGTTTTCTCCCRTGGCTGGATTTTTGGTCTAGCTGTATCTTGTGGAGCGTGGGCGAGCAAGCAGCTCAGTGGGCCCGTGTCAGCTTTCAGGATGTGTTGCACCGCGCCGAGCGTGGGCGCGGGGCCTTCAGCACAGCCGAATCTCAGGGGTGCCTTGCTGGGCCTACGTGTTTTCATGAATGAGTAATCAGGCTCAAATTAGCTCCAGCCTTTGTTTCCTGTGTGTGAAGGATGGGAGCTGATGCCTGGCTTGCACGGTTGTGCCTGCTCCTGATCCCCCAGGATTTACACCCCCAGTGCCATGGCCTGGCAGCTGCAGTCCCGTGCTTGCTGCAGGACTCTGTCAGCAGTGGAAGAAGAGATAATGACAGCCTGCTATTACTGCTGCTTGAGAAAATCACTTGATGATAGATTTGTGCCTGGTTATATTTTAGAAATGTACTGAAATGGTCTAAATTAAGCACCCTAGTTTAAAACCTGGGTCAGCAGAAGACAGCTTGGGAGGGGGGGGATAGCCTGATCGGTGTCCTTGCCACAAACACACAGYGTGCTGGTAAAGTGGGGGAAATTAAAATGACAGGTTGAAGGTCCAGATAATGGTTTCCCTGAGTACAGCTTTCCAATGTGATTAAATAYCTTATTTTGGAATGGATTGGGGAATTATAAATGATAGCAGTACATGCTAGGAATTTCTCACCTTTCCAAGATAAACAGTGGATAAGTACCATGATTGCAGAACTTGCCAGTATTTTGGCTTAGAATGGTTTAGAGCATCTTTTCCTTGTGTCTGATATGTGTAAGATGAGAACTGTGGAAAAGATAAGGCAGAATTATGTGWGTATCTTATTTTTGCTCCACTGTTTAAATTACAAATCAAGAGCAAATCTTYGAGTTGACCAGGGGAAAAATCTTTGAGTTGACCAGAGGACACAGCGGAAAAAAAATTAATGGCGGKTGAGAAAAAAGGTGGATTTGTCATTTTGACAGTAAATTAAAAGCTCTATTTATGCTTGACTTTGCACTTCCTTCAATTTCAGTGGTTTGGATTCTTAGCATTAAAACAAAATGATTGAATTATTAAATGGTTTTATATTTTATTTCAGAATGACACTCCATCCCAAAATTTATTTTCAGAAGTCATCACAATTTTTCAGACACTTTAGGTTGAAACAGTTTTTCTTCTGTTGAGCTAGCAAACAGATTTTCCCTGGCCTCAGAAGCATGAACAGAAACAAGTCTGGAAAATTTTGCCACTGTAAGACCTTGAATTTTAAAAAGTATTGAGTAGTTTCATTGTTTTCACCTGGGTTCTCTGTTCCTCATGCTTATCTCAGAGGATGAAGGCTGCTGTCCCTTTAAAATGCAGATCTTCAAAGTCATGRTCTCACTGAAATTAACTGTCCTGTCTAAAATAATTACCATTCCCCCTTCTTTATTGCAGCAGGAACTCAGGGAATGAGCTGCAAGTGTATTACGCCTCTCCGAGGAGCTATCAAGACTTTTTTGAAGCAATTCACCGAAGGGAGGATACGTTCTACGTGGTGTCATTCCGCAGAGTAAGTGTGGCAGTGGTTCATACCTGTGTCCATAAAATTGTTTCTAACTGAAATACAAAAAGTGACTTAATCGAGKTTGAAGGTAAATTGTTCCTTCTGAAATGATGATTCTTTGTATTCTTTACAGTAACATGTCCAGGTCATGCTCTTTGCAAAATATGCCCCAATATTCTCACAGTTSAGAATGGAGAGTTTTGCAGAAAACRTTGTAGTGCCTGGKCAAGRCAGCCCAAAATTGCATGAACCCTCAGGTTAAAGACACATTRCAGCTATTTAATAGGTGTATAAACCTTTTGTGCTTCTGGCTATAGGAATGAATGTACCCTCTGCACAAATTATTACTGTTAGCCTAACACAGTATAGTTTCTATCTTCCCCTAAAGCTTTTGCATTTGCCCTTTTATGTGTCACATTGCAGCTGTACGGGACTCTGTGCAGGGCCACAATTTTTCTGGTTTGTGTCTTGTAAGCTGAGATGGCTACTTGGAATCTGGTGATGGAAATGACTGAGACAGACGGTGGTTGAAGCACCAGCCTGGGGCTGGAAGAGTTTATTCCCTGCCTTTTGCAGGGATCTTGATGAGTCATTAGATACATTTCTATAATGTACTTCTGTCCCTGGGCTGAACCTGGGTCTGGGCTTGCTGAGCAAGTTGTTTTGCAGTTGGGGTGTTARATGAGAATTGTTCTGTGCATGTTCACACCCAGCCATGGTCCTCCCAGGACCCTGCAAAGCTTCCATTTGTTTCTTCATCATAGGAGTGGCCTGAGAGAGGTCCCAAGGTCATGGGGGACCAGTAGTGGCCACGACAACAGCTCACCCAGCTATAACCAGTTCTGTGTAACAGCACACGGATAAACACAACTAATTTTAGCAGTTTCTGTGTTGTCAYAACTCTACCAATCTGTAGTTGCCATAGGTACACAGGTAATACAACCCTGTTCCACCTGGTACACAAAAAAAATCTTAATTTGTAGATGCATGTCTGTAGAAAAGGTTCAGGCGGAGCTGAAAAATAAAAATAGCGGGGCTCTTCTTAGGATTAAGGTTTTATGCTGAGTAGAAATAYGAGGTTAGTTTCCAGTCTTGGGATTACTGGGTTGTGTCACAAGGCTGGAATTTTGTTATTAAATGCTTGGCATGTTCTGCTGTTCTTTCAGCTAGCAACACAAATATATCCAGCACCACATATCCTGAGGATGAGGGGAAAGGAGCGGAGAATAAAAGCTTTCCTGGAAACTCAGAACACAAAGCARAACAGTGTTTGTGGAGTTCTGCTCTTGGGGCCACTGCTCCAGCCCACCTGAATGCATGTAYGTGTGCATAGGTCCTGTTTACACTGTCAGGGTAATGACCTGGAAGTTGTCAGCTCTCATTTCAGCTCGAAGAGCTGTCCTTGGAAACAGTGTGCCACMGAATCCCCACAGCCTGGCTCTGCTCTCTTGCAGGGAGAGGTGTGGAGGCCTTTCAAACCTTTCTATGAAGTTTATTTGGTAGCAGAGCTTTTGGTGTTTCTGTTTTATGAATGAAATGTCCTYAAATAGAAGGCACTTTCATGCATTACCTCATTTATTGTTTTAACAGGGCAGGCCTGATCTAGCAGCAAGCTCTGCCCTGAGGCACTTTTAAATGACTTGCTTGGATTCTTTTGTGAGTGCAGAAGAAAGGGCTCCTCCACACCCCGAGGGGTGCCATCAGCAGGGCCCCAGCCTGGGAGATGCCCTTTCACCTCCTCCTGGGGACTGCTAACTTCATTTTCTCTGGACCACAGCTCTCTTTTCACTGATGATTAGGAGCTGAGAGGGGACTGATTCCTCCTCGGTGCTGTCCCACAGTTCACTTGTGTTGCTTGTGCTTGTCCAAGTGAGGAGCCAAGGCCTGGAGATGAGAGATTTTGTTCTGTTTGCCACACAGACACTCCCAAATACTTGATAAGCTGCTCACAGCCCAATAATGTAACATCAGAACTAGAATCAGCCAGTTACAAGTTCCAGGGAGTGGCTGGTTCTGGTAATAGTCCTGCTCCAAGTGGAAAGTAGAACTGTGAATCTCAGGAGATCCACCCGATGTCCCTGAATCCTTTGTCCCCGTTTTGTGCTCTGTGCACAACCTCACTAAACCCCAGCATTTCTCCTGATGCATGTGATAAAATGTAACATTTTCTCCATTTTCTTCATTGCACTGCTGTGCCCTGAGTTCCTTGGATTTTCTAGAAAATGGGATTTGCTAGGGCTACTCTTACATGGTAGGACTCAACCAAGGCTTCTGGAAGTGCAGGGTTAGGAARCAAAGCTCTTGTGCACTGCGTATTTTTCTGGTGATGCTTGATACCTATAAGACTGAGATTCCCATGATCTCATCAATTCTATTTYCTTTCCTTGCTTTGGAAGGTTTGCAGGTCTGCATATTTGCAGTTGAAGATTACATGGGTTTTGGTTTTTTTTTTTTTTTCTATTTTAAGGAGGAGAGAGGAAAATAAAGTAGCATTTGGATCAGCTGAGTCCATGCAAGAAGCAGGGCTTTTGCTCTGGGCATCTAAAGAAACCAATTTTCTGCTATTATCAGGGGAATTTCTAATGTCATTTTTAAACAAGAAGAGCCTGCTGCTCTGGTTTCTGCYCTGTAACATCTGTGATCCCAAGTCTGCTCCTAAATGTGGAGTGTGGATAGCAAATGCGAGTTGGTGTCTCTGAGGTGCTGTCAGCAGGGAACAGACACCTGGCTGCCTCTCTGTAAGCCTGGCACCCACACAGCTCTCTCTCWGAGCTCACATCTGTTTGGCCATGGAGTACTCAGGCCTTGAGATTGTTTCTAGAATTACCTGAATAGCTAGCTTAATTTGAAAAGTAATTAAGTAAATCATTGGAGAAAACAAATCCCTTCCAATTTACTTTGGCCTGTAAATGCTGCTTCAGATCATTCCACTCTTATGTGGTTRGGATCAGAGTCCCCACAACTTGGAGTGATTAAGCTGCAGATTTCCCCATCCTGGAAGGTTCACTCAGTGACCCTTTGATGACATCTCTGCAGGCTTATTTAAGGACAGTGACGTTTTTTAGGGTAAGAATGTAATTACTATTCTTAAGGAAAACATAGTTTAAAGTTTGATTCACTTGGGAAATTCAGGGGACTTCTGGCATTTCCTCTCACTGCTTTCTCTGTTTCAAAGCACAAATGTCTCCTGATATCAAAGTTTGCCACTTGCATTCATTGCACCACACATACAGTATCTTGTGGTAGAATGCAGTAGAAAGCAGATATTAAATGTTGATTCTGTTTGCTTGAGCAACAGTGATGCTGGCCCTATGGGAATCAATGGCAAAGCCTTTACCAACTTCTGGAAAACCAGGATTTCATTTTATAAATTTCTGCTTCAGTGCCATAAACCATAGGGCTTCAGGGAAACCTCTTATTATGAAAGTGAATTTCTGGTCCTACAAGCCAACATCTGCAGTAAGCATTTAAGGGCTTCTCAAGTTCTGCAAACAATTTTTTTTCTGAAATGATTAAGCCAAATTTCAATTAGAACTTTTGTTCTTTGTTTGCTAGGAGTAGAAATGTCTTGGTAGTGTTGTGCTTCTGTTGGTAAGAAGYCTGCGCTGTGCTAATTGTATTTGGGATGAAATAATTGTATTTGGAATGATATATTACTTTCAGGAAGCAAAAGGTTATAAAGCCTGGCTTTGACATGCTTGTGCAGCAGYAGTTTGCTGTGCTGCACACACTTCTGGCAACAATAATTTGAATGTGTTCAGAGAGCACGAGGCAGGTTCCAGTTCACTGCRCTCCTGATGCCATCTACATCCTGCAGGCAAAACTGCTTTATAAGAACTTGGCTTCAGATGATGTTTCACAGCCAGAAGTTCAGTCCTAACATATACTTTCCTCCTACTTTGTTGCACTTGACAATGGGTGGTTTTTCCTGAACGTGAAGTTTGCTGCTGTTGGCTTTGTTTGTGGATTTCAGCAGACTGGGATGTGTAATTTGGTGTTTCATTCAGATAAATTGATTAGACCCACAAAGTCCTGCTGCCCTTAGAGACAGAGCAGCTATTTTATATATTTCAGTCCTGTGGGTTTGCAGCTGCTGCAAGTTAACATGCAGATTTTTGAAAGATTTTAGAAACTCCTTTTTCCTGGGGAGCCTGACTTTAGCTGTTGAGAGGAAAAAGGTTACTTTAATCCCAGGATTGTAGGATTTTAAGATCTTGTCCTATATTTTATACACATGCTGAGAATAATATGTGCTGAAAGAACTGAGGCTCAGGGCATAGTATCTGTGATAAAACTGCCTGTCCTTTTCAAAGCAGAGGTCTTCTTTGCCTGTCTTCTCTGTGAGGCCAATTCTTGCCTCTGGAAAAATCTGAGGAAGCAAACAGTGTGTGTGATTGTGCTTCAGCTTGCCCTGAAGCACACTGAGCCAGCCTCTGTCAAATTACAGCTGAATTTGACTTTCAAAGTTGAAAATCCATTTTGAAAACCTCCTGTTTCCATCTAAGTGTCAATAGGGAAAATGAAGTCTGGCATGCTGCATTCTTCCAGCTAARCTTTGGATTCTCTCCGTGTCAGAGAATTTTCTCCTTCCAAACGCTGGTATCCATATGAAAACAATGRAGCAAGCTTTCTTCTTAGTCTTTCTTGAGCTGTCTTCCTTTCTTACATGGAATATTTCAGAAGCAGAGGGATTACTACCAAAGGGACTGAGAGGTGGTGGGGAGAAGGCTTCTCTGTCCTCTTCCAGATAATCACCTGGAGAAGATGTTGCTTTTGCTAGCCTCTTAGACTAAAAACCTCCAGAGAGAAATCTAATAATCTAAAATTAAATCTGAAAGTGTATGTTGGTCTATAGAACACAACTGGCYTCACCTCAGTCCTGAGATTCTCAAAATACTCGTTTATGAGAACAACACAACTGTAAATTAGGTAAAAAGAAGCTCAAAAGAAGTGCATTTAGATTTGCAGCTAAAGGCCAGCAAGTCTTTAAAAACTGTTTCTGTCAA